ACCACATAAGCAGAAAAAGCTGGAAGTGGTGCTGTGGCTCAAGTGGTAGAGCACTGACCTTGAGCTGAAGAGCTGAGGGACAGTGCCTAGACCTAGAGTTCAAACCCCACGACCAACAAAAGAAAAGAAAAAAGAAAGAAAGGAAATAGCAACAACCAAAATCAAACAAAATCACCAACAACCAAAAAGAAAGCCAGCAGAGCTGGGTGCTCATGGCTCATACCTATAATCCTAGCTACACTGGAGGTAGAGAATGAGAGGATGTCAATTTGAGGCTGGCCTAGGCAAAAAAAATAAAAAAATAAAAAAAATTGAGAGGTCCAATCTCAACCAGTAGCTGGGTGTGGTGGACAGACCTGTTTCCCCAGCTCTGCAGGAACCACAAGTAAGACTGCTGTCCCAAGTAGTCCTGCCATAAACCCCAAACCCTATTAGAAAATAATTAAGGCAAAACTGCCAGGCAGGTGAATCAAGTGAGGCCCTGTGTTCAAACATAGTACTGCCAAAAGAAAGAAAGAAGAAAAGAGAGGAGGGGAGGGGAAGGGAGGGGAGGGAAGGCATAGCCTGGTAATGTAATTCTCTGTTCTGCTTCGTGAGTCATACATGTGTCTGAGTCTCTCATTCCCTCCTGGAGAGCAGGGATGGGGTCTTATTGACAAATTCTGCCATAGAGTAGATATTCTGGATTTTCTTTTTCTCTTTTTTCTTTTTTTTTGTCGGTCATGGGCCTTGAACTTAGGGCCTAGGCACTGTCCCTCAGCTCTTCAGCTCAAGGCCAGTGCTCTACCACTTGAGCCACAGTGCCACTTCCAGTTTTCTGAATGGTTTATTGGAGATAAGAGTCTCATGGACTTTTCCTGCCCAGGCTGGCTTTGAACCATGATCTTCAGGTCTCAGCCTCCTGAGTAGCTAGGATAACAGGCATGAGCCACTGGTGCACCTGGCTTTTGTGATTTTCTTTTACCGTGTTTTTTTGTTGTGCTGTTGGTGGAACTCAGTACGCGTGCTAGGTAATCACTCCATTACCCAGCCACAGCCACAGCCTGGCAGACATGTCTTCTATAAATAAATGCTTGAGAACATAGACCCACCGCCAGGCAGATGGGTACAAGGCCTGAGGCTTCTGTGCCGCTGTGTCCACCAAACAACTCCACTAAGCATCTTCACAGGCCCCTGTTCCAAGCGCCCGGGTTGCGCTGCTGAGCACAGAGCTCTGAGGCTCAATCCTCACCATGCCTGTGTTCTAGCCAGGGAAGCACATGGTCAGCTCATACATGAAGGCCGTGACTCTGGTGGTGGCGACAGAGCAGGGTGGATTGACAGAGATGGCTTGGTGGCTTTTCCCTAGAGTAGTTGGGGACAAGCTCTTGGTGGGTCTGAGACCTGAGCCACAGGGAAGTGTTGGTGCCAGGTGGAATCCAAGTCTCAGTGTGTGACTCACAGTGGATCTGAGGCTGAGCGTGACTCAGGGCGAGGGCACCAGGTCGCGTGGGGCCTTCTAGAAGGGCCAGGGTTTCCACAGAGCTCTTCCTTCAGCCGCCAGCAGCTGGGGGGGGGTGGGGATTAAGCGTTAAAAGTGGGTGTGTGGTAGAAGCAGAGCAGACACACTAACTCAGGGGAAGCTGGAGGAAAGAGAGGTGAGCACTGAGGCAGCCCAGGCACCAGTGGCTCACACCTGTAATCCTAGCTACTCAGGAAGCTGAAATCTGCGAATCCTGGTTCAAAGCCACTGGGCAGGAAAGTCTGTGAGACTCTTATCTCCAGGGCTTGATCTCAGGGCCTGGGTGCTGTTCCTGAGCTCATTTGCTCAAGGTTAGCACTTATCACTCTGAGCCACAGTGCCACTTCCAGCTTTTTGGTGGTTCCGTGGAGATAAGAGTCTCACAGACATTCTTACCTAGGCTGGCCTTGAACCTCCATCCTCAGATCTCAGCCTTCTGAGTAGCTAAGATTATAAGCGTGAGCCATTGGCGCCCAGCGTCACTGGAAGTTTTAAGTAGCTGAGTGGGAGGAGGGGAAGCCATGTAGAGTTGGATTTAGATGGAAGAAGCGCTGAGCTTTTTGGGCTCTGAAGACATGGGGAGGCTGGTGTCCCGTGTGCAGGGGGGTGGTAGCGGTGCCCGTGGAGTTGCTGGGAGCATGGGATGAGGAGCCATGTTGGGGGGGGGCTCCTCATGACACCTCCCTGTGGTTTGCACTCAGCTGAGCCACCATCTTCATCTTCCAGGTGCCAGGCGAGGCCAGTCCTATCACCATGGTGGCCAAGCTCAGCCAGCTGATGGGGCTGCTGTCCTCCATTGAAGATAAGGTACCTGCTGGGGGAGCGGAGGGGGGCCCTGCGGCGCCTCTTGACTTTGCTGGGGTTCCCTCTGCAAGGAGAACGCCAGACCCAGGCTCTGTGCCCTCTCACCTCCTCCCTGCCACCCACAGGTCAAGGCCTTACTGCACGAGGGCTCGGAGGCCCCCCACCGGCGTTCCCTCATCCCCCCAGTCACCTTTGAGGTAAGTGGGGTGGGACGGCGGGGCCTGCTCTGGCTCCACCTTGCTGCCTGTGGAAGAAGGGATTTTGAAGTCCTCTGGTGGAGGATGGCAGTGGGCAGAAGCACCTTGCTAGGAAGGTGGTTGTATGTTAGAATTGAGGCATTTGAGCCGGGCACCGGCGGCTCACACCTGTCATCCTAACTACTCAGGAAGCTGAGATCTGAGGATCACGGTTCAAAGCCAGCCCTGGGCAGGAAAGTCTGTGAGACTCTCATCTTCAATCAACCACCAGAAAACCGGAAGTGGCGCTGGGGCTCAAGTGGTAGAGCTGCTAGCCTTGAGCTGAAGAGCTGAGGGACAGCGCCCAGGCCCAGAGTTCAAACCCCATGATCAACCAAAAAGAAAAGAATAAGGACTGGGAAGGTGGCTCAGTGGTAGAGTGCTGGCCTCACATCCATGAAGGCCCTGGGTTCGATTCCTCAGCACCACATAAGCAGAAAAAGCTGGAAGTGGTGCTATGGCTCAAGTGGTGGAGCGCTAGCCTTGCACTGAAGAGCTCAGGGACAGCGCCCAGGCCCAGAGAGAAAGAAAAAGAAAAGCCTAGAGGCTTCTGTAAGTCCCCTTCATGAGCAGGCACAAGGGGGGAGCTCCTTCTTGCGCCAGGATATATAAATGTGATTCTCTCTGGGTGCTGCTGCGCATGCCTGTAATCCCAGCTTCTCAGGAAGGCTGAGATGTGAGGATCACAGTTACAGGAAAGTCTTAAGAATCTGATTGTCCATTAACCACCAAAAAAACCCACCACAGCTCAAACTAGAGCTAGAGCTGTGGCTCAAGTGGAGAGCACCAACCTTGAGCAAAAAAGCTAAGGGACAGAGTCCAGGATCTGTGTTCAAACCCTTCCTTCCCTCCCTCCCTCCCTCTCTCCCTCCCTCCCTCCCTCCCTCCCTCCCTCC